TATTTTGTTATTATGACTTACCACACAAATAATAATAATCTTCTTATCACGTAAAAGATGAAAATTTGTCATAGTACGAAGTGCATCCCAAAATGCTTTCATTTTAGTTTCTTCAACTGCTTCAGGAACTTTTGTTGTTTGTTGAATATATGTAGGTATGTCAGGTTGAGATTGAAATTCAGGTAAATTTCTTGTATCACCTTGATAGAGTACATCTTCTTTATATAAGCTATTCAAAAACAAAATATAAGAAGAACGAAAAAAGATTTTCCAAATAAGACTTTCTTACGGACGAACAGCATCTTCAGCTCTAATACTCTGTCGTGATCTATTTGATACACCTGATTCAGTTCGACATCGTTTTTTAATATCGTCTTCCAATGCCATATCGGTTAAAGTTGAATCTTCATCATGTGGCGATGGTATTATGACAATTGTTGGTGTAACTTTTGCTCCTCTAATTGAAGTTGCTGGTGTAAGTTTTCCTCCTCTGATTGAAGTTGCTGGTGTAAGTTTTCCTCCTTTGATTGAAGATGTTGGTGTCTATATTAATAGGAGATTAATATAAATTTCGAATAAGACGTAAAACTAACCATGATTTTTTGCACAGTATCTTCGATTCTATTGAAATAAAGAATAAAGAAAATTTTTATTATAACAAACAATATCATAATTCATTGCAAAAAATAACAAAATATTGTCAAATTGAATTCGATATTGGATAAATACACCAAGTCTTCGATCAAAAAAGAAAACGTCAAGATCTATAGAGACACTTTCTCATCTATCTAGTATAATCTAAATTCTTTATCAGAGAGAAAATATTTCACATAAATAAAAGACTTTAGCGTATTTTCAAGTAAATGAAAAAACAATTAATGACCAATCAATTACTCTTCTATAACCAATTCTTCCAAAAAACCTAGTAAGCCTATAAAACAGGCTCTTCAAAAATTACGAAACTCACTCTTCAGGCGGCGGTAAAATACGCCGTTTTCGTACTGGTGTTAAAGGACGCATAAATGCACAGCAAATAGCACAACAAAGAATTATAATTGCTACCAGGAATAAACCCGTTTTCCAACCAAATAAATTAAATAATAATTTTATAAAAGGTGAAAATGCAACCGTACCAATACCCGTACCAGCCGTAACAATACCTATAACAATATATATATTATTTATTCAACCAAGAAAAAAAAAATCTTTTATTTTACCTGTTGCAATAGCACGTTTTTCTTCAAAATAATATCCAACCATGACAAGACTTGGTAAATAAATCAAACCCATACCAATACCACCAATCAAACCGAATAATAACCACATCACCACAATATTTGGTGAGAGTATCGATGCTGCAACAGAGAATGCAGCAATAACACTTCCAATAATACCAACTCGACGACAACCCCATTTATTACATAAAGCAGAAGCTAATGGAGCTATATGCAAAATCAAACAAAGAAATGAACGAATTATTAAAAATACGGAACAAAGAATTTAATTACCACTAAGCATATAAAAGCCACAAGCTAATGAAATAACGAGTGATACAGCCCATTCTTGAGCTTGAAAATAAGATTGAACCTTGTCTGATATGTTACCAAATGAAAAAAAAAAACCATCAAGAATCAAATTAATAATCTTAATAAAAGAAAAGACAAAAGAAAAATTATTTGTAATTATAGATAATAACTTACGCAACATGCCAAAACAACAATCCAACCAAAACCTCCATCTGGTGGTACTGTAATAAAATCATATTCGTCATCATCGTCTAATTTATTTGATTTGTTCTCAATTTTTTTTTGATCATCTTTTGATTTATCAAATTTGTTCTCGATTTTTTCTTGATCATCTTTTAATATACCGAATTTCTTCTCAATTTTTTCTTGTTCATCTTTTAATACATTGAATTTCTTCTCAACTTTATCTTGTTCAACTTTAAATACATTCGATTTCTTCTCATCTTTTTCTTCATTAATTTTTAATGTATTTGATTTCTTCTCTTCTGGTTCTTCATCTTGTACGTATCTTTCAATCTCGTCCGTCATATGTGCGTTGTTTCAATAGCTTATTACAACAAAATACATGTAGATGTTTCCTTTTTTTTTCTATATAAAACTCTGATACTATGTCGATTATAAAACAAACAACTTTGCTGAATGTGCAGGTAATCAATAGCACATCTGAAAAAATATAAATATAATTAATTATATAAAATATTATCAAGATTTTAATACATCATATCTACTTTTGAAAAAAATAAAGGTACAGTCGACGACAAAAATTTAACCGAATTTGTTTCTTTCAATTTTCCTTTTACATGAAGAGAGGTACTGATCTAATTCAAATGGTGATATAGATAGTATAAGAGATCATCTACTTAATATAGTATTGGAGGGAACTCTATCTGTCTATATAGACTTTTCATAATTAAAATAAGTTTTAGTAGTTTCGAATATTTCGCATTTTTTAACCAAGAAATTTGTGTTAAAGTGACAAAAACTAGGCCAATCGAGGGAGAATTTCATGTTCTATCTATTTCTAAAAAATTGCCATTCTCAAAGTTTGTAAGAAAAGTTAGTTATGTTTTTCAAAACTTTTTTTTGAAAAAGGTGGACATAAAGAACTGATGGTATTAGAACTTCAAGGACATCATTTTGTTCAGTTTTGAATGTTCTTTACAATGGTACACAATACATTACGATAAGAGACAATATGTAGGAACTAATTTCACTTTTTCTGTTGTTGTTCAGCTATTCTCTTTAGAATCAGATTCTAGAGGTGAAGATCAATTCTTAGGACGGAACTTTTCCAGAAACAGACAAAGCATGAAATTCTCTATCGACTGGTCTATTTTTTTGTTATTTTAATTATGAAAAATCTATATAGACAGATGGAGCCTCCTCCAATACTATATCAAGTACTCGGTCTCTCATAGTGTCTATATCATCATTTGAATCAGATCAGTATCTGTTCACATTGCAAGAAAAACTGAAGAAGCAAATTTGTAAAAAAAAAAAAGGAACATTGAAAGAAACAAATTCGCTTAAATTTTTCTCGCCGACTGTAATAAGAATAGAATGAAAAAAAGTCATAGCATATACATATTTACTCTTTACTAGAAAATTCTTATAGAAATATTTCTATGCAATTTGTTCATAAATTCAATATTTTTTAAGAATGATAATATCAAACAAAAGTTACAATAATGATTATACTTACAATAATTATTTATATTATAAATATAAAATAATTTTTGTTTTTTCGATGTTTATTTTTATATATTATGAGATCAACTTATAATGATCAATGAAAATCGAATAAATGTATCATTCGATAGTGTACTATGTATGAAGAGCAATTATAGAGAAAAATATCATATTGATATGTCATCAATAGTACATTTCTTATTTTCTATGAGAAACAAAGACAATATATTGTTAGTTGATTGAGTACAAATTCAATTGTTAATTATATATAAAGCACTGGTTGTTTTTTTTTTCCTGATAATAATAGATATGTAAGATTTCAACTTTTCTGTTCCTCGAATTAATAAGATTCCGATGTAGGATGTAAAATGATATGTAATATTAAATGAAATAAAAAAAATAATTATTACTTTGTATTCTAAAAGATTATGTTTAATAATAATGAAAGATAATATATATATATACACAAATAAAAACCATTTAAAATGATGTGTTATTACAATAGAAATAGTGTAAATGATCATTCAATGAGATAAATCGCATGCGTGAATAAAATAACAAGATTAGAAATACTAATAAAATCATGATGAGATATTAGCTCTGATGAAAAACAGATGTCCTGAATCATTTTTCATTAAACTATCACGATAGATGTCAACTAAAACATAGCAAATTATACTTCTCGTTTATTACTTTTATAAATCTAAAAGATCATAGAAATTAATGTTATGATAAAATTTTTGTTTTGTTTGCCTTTTTTCAATAAAATAAAAAACGAAGAGTCATTTGAAGTCAAACAAAATATTTATATTATTTTTTTTTTTTCAAATAAAAAAGAAATTTTCACAAATCATTTACTTTAATAAATCGATCTTCGTTCAATTATAAAAAGAAGTATTTTTAAATTGAACTGTTTTTTTTTTTTCTTAATTCATAAATCAATAGATAATGAATAAGTTTCTTCTCCTTACATCTTTCGTTATTCTTCATTTATCATTAAGAAAAAAAAATTCATACTCACGCGTATTGCTTGATAATTAAGAAAAAGAAAAAAAAAAAAACTTTCAATCGAAAAGAAAAAATATCAACGAAAACCCATAAAAATGCTTGTCGAACCCATATTACACCAATAATCAGAGTATACCATCGTTTCATCTTTTTCTCGGTTCATTGATGTGAAAGCGTTCGGTCACCACTCAACTCGACGCGTTGACCTCATTAGCGAAAATAGCTACCTGTTCACTCGGTCATAAATTCAAACTGTCTTAAATTCACTTTTTTTCTTTCATTTCATTCGCTCTCTCTCTCTCTCTCTATTGTATAGAAACCACAGTTTTATATCAAGTAGAGACAACTTAAATGATGGAGTAGTATAGTGAACATCTTTGCCGAGGGCAACGATAACGTTACTCTTTCAGTTTGTTACTGTTGATCATAATATAATACACATCGTGTATTGATTACGAAATAGATCATCTGTCTCTATCACTCTCATTTTCGTCACGTATATAACGAAAAATCGTATAGGAAATAATCAAATGTTATGATATATAAGCATTAGAAAATATTTGAACATAATGCATTTAGTTAAAGATAAACACAAGAATTAAATCAAATTATTAGATGTTCGAAAGAAATAAGAAATCAGGCAAAAAAATAATCAATCAAATGTATAAGCATATCATTGGCATCATCATTTTATTTATACGATAGTATCATTACATATAACCAAACTACTTAGACGAGTATTATACATGCCATATTTCATTTGCTGTTAAATGTACGAAAACAAAAATACCATTGTTGTTTGATATAAAAAGCAAAATGTTTTTTTTAGTAGTATAAATATTATTCATTATTATATCCGAAGATGTATTGAAGATATACAATTAAGAACTAGTTCGTAGACAGCCGTAAGGGTATTATAAGTAAAACACATTCAATATATGAAAGAAAAATATAAATCATAGTAGAGTATATTGAAGTGATTGTATAATATGTATTATTAATTTTGTTTTTTTCATATTTATTTTATCCTGAAAAAACATCCAATATGAAGATGAGAATGATAAAAAAACAAACAACTATTGAAGAATTTTTTTAGATGTAGTACAAATAAATTCTGGAAGATTTTTTTTTTTCGAAATCAGGACCCAAAAAAATAAAATCACTGGAACCATGATTACTAGAAAAGAAGGTACTGGAAACAAAACCCAAAAAATTTGGCCTCGTACATTTCCAATTGTAACACAAAATCTCCGATGAAAAAATCATTAAAGTCCATTGAGTCCGGAATCAATCCTAAGGGCTTTATCAGTCATTAACTTCTAGTCGGAAGTCAATATGATAACTAGTACGAAAGCTTTTCATAATTTAATTAAGAATATGTAACATATGTGCAATGTTTTTGTTAAATAACCGTAACATGAAATTAATAAACTTTGGTTACATTTTTGTAAAGTTGAAAATAGCAGCAATGCCGGAATTTGTAGCTAAGGACTGAACCGCCCTTTCAGATCTCTTGTAGGATTACTGTTAGCAACTGCTTTAAAATTTTTTCGGTAGTCTCAGCAACTGTGTAGTACCGCTATTAAGGTCTTTGACACATTAGAAGACTTGAGGTCTTCTATTCTGTCTTATCATTCATGAATTGCAAGAGAATCTTCTATTAAATTCCCCAAAAAAGTCATCTTTTTTTGGTAGTCTCGCTGACAATTCTTATTTCGAATTCCTTTTGGCTCAATACATCATTAGTAAACGAGTTTATTTCATTTATCTCACACGCGTAGAATGAGAAAGAAACAGATAGTACCCTACGCGAAAAGGAGCGAGACAATTGTTGCTAAGAAGAGTGTTCTTAGAACAATACAGTCAACGAATTCTAACATCTTAGTATAATATCTGATAGCATTCTTTTCTCCAAAGAATAAAATTTATTATTGGCAACATTTATCTTACTCAATATCTAAATAGTTGAAAAAAAAAAGGAAATTAAATTTCTTTGTCGTCAAACTTATTTAAGTCAGTTGTTTGTTGTGAGATTTGAATAGTGTATAGATGGAATTCTTTCTCAATGAAATGCATCAACTTGCAGACTCAGAAGGATTACTTCATAGAATAAATATCGACGTGTATACCTGCAGATTTGTTTTCACTTCAAATAATTATGAATGCACTGTTTTTTTTTTATGAAAATATTTCTAAATTTTGAGAAGGAAGTACACAAAAGAGTGTTGAAGTGACTCTATGATATATTTTTAATAAAGAAACACATTTTTTTCCTAGTATTTGTTTCTCAACATTTTTTCTAACTCAGAATCCACACATTGCTATTACGACGAAAACAAAATATTATTCATATTAAACTTACCAGGAAAAGTCACTAACTGTTCAATCGCTTTTTAGCTGGAGCCTAGTGAATTACATGGAGTATTGATCATGCTGATTCGGATTATCGACATGTTTTTTTTTGCCGCTAGAGATTCAAAGGATCCGATTTTCTATAGCGAAAACTTTTTTTATCTGTCTAATTGGTAGAGCGCTTCGAGTTGAATATAAAAAATTATTTTTTTCAAAATGTGAACTATTACAAATTAGGTTAGAGAGATAAAAATTTTGGTTGTATTTGAACTTTAGTAGGTTTTCTGTACTAATAGATATTACTGTGTCGAATACATATTGTTATTGTAATACACTATGTTCTGTCATATAGCGCATTCTGCAGCTTGGCAGAGAATTTCAAATAGTGTTTTTTTGAGGTCCGATGACGGAAAAAA